TGTTAGAAGACTCGTTACCTTGCGAATTGCATGCCGTTGTGTGTTGGGAGATGTACGATTGTCATAATGATCACTATTAACTAGTGATATACAATTGTATAAAGCTGTCTCTATAACAGCATTAGTTTTGTAAGGCTTATTACCCTGAGATATATAACACCTCTTTGCATTAGAAGGTCAGTTACTCTGAAATGTATAACAGCCTTAACGTTACAAGACCCATTAATTTGATATGTATAAATGTTTTAGCATTAAAAGGCCCCTCATTAACTTTAAATGTATAAAAGTCCTAATATTAGATAGTCCCTATCTTGCGTTGAAATATCAGTTTTAAAGTTTATTACCCTGAGCTGTATAGCGGTCCTTGTGGCGGATTTTCCTTTACTCTGAGTTGTATTATAATCTGTTTTTGGAACATCCATTAACTTATAGTTGATTAATAGCCCTTGTATTAAAAAGTCCATTTCCTGTGATTTTAAATTCTCCGTACTAGAAGTTTCATTACCCCGATGTGTATCCTTAAATTATAGATCGATTACTACTGGACTAACACTCAAACTTTGAACAATCGGGAGTTGCATCACAGTCTTTGTTTTAGGTGGTCCAGTAACCTTAGTTGAATAAAAATCATCGTGATAGATGTGACATAAGCTCCAAGTTTGATTAAAGTGTCTGGATTGAAAGGTTTATTTTCGTGAGCTATATGAAAGTCTCTGTATTACAAGTTACATTATCACTCCTTGTATACTGTAATTTAAAGATACATTACCCGATACAAAATATCCATTGCTTTCGAGTAGTATCAAAGTCTCTAAAAAAATCCACTTAGTTTAGCTGTGTTATAGTCATTGTGTTAAAATGTGCTCTAGAGTTGTAGTACGGTCATTGTAACCAAGTTTCACTACCTTGAATACTTTGCGTTAGTAATGTCCTTTCCCCGTGTTTTATTAAAGCTTTTCTTACAAAGATTTAGTTTTATTCTAGTTTCTATTTTAGAATATTCCTTAGCCTAAAGTCCTTTTTTTTAAATTATAATTTCGTGTAGTTGTCTCAGTCTCTGCTTTAGAAAATCATCGAGTTGGAGAGTTTATTAACCTATAGATCTGTTAAATACTTTGTATTAAAAGCCCCATTATTTCGGTTAAACTTTCAAGCATCCTAAAGTTGAAATACAGATCCATTACTTTGAGATTTATCAAAGTATCCTGGAGGGTTATTAACCTTGATATAAATTTAATTGTTGTATTCGAGCCTTCATGTTAGAAAAGTGGGAATAGTCTTTTCGTTAAAAGGTCCATCACCACCAGTCGTTTGATTTGTTTTTGAATTTCGCGCAAAGCTACACGAGGGCTATCTGCGCTAGCCGTCCCTAATTTAGCAGTGTAAGACTAGAGGGAAGGCAGCTAGTCATCACCACCCACCGCCAACTCTCGGGCTAATCTTTTACCAACGAATAGTGGGACTGATCGTGACATTATAACGTCCCACGGCTGAAAGGACGAGAATGTTTGGTGTGACGGGGGTTCGAACTCGCGACCCTAATATTGTGAGTCGAGCGCCCTAACCACCTGGCCATGCCGGGTCACTACGAGTCATATCAGTCTTTGTATTAGAAAGACCATTACTTTAACGTTGTATCATGACTTTGTAATACAAAGACCATAACCTTAGTACTCGCAATTATCGTGTACTACTTTCCAGGTTTAATTTTTTTTTTTAGATTTACATTCAAAATCTGATTATTTTACTTTAATTTAGACGTAATTAATAATTGCAAATGCGAATCATACCTAAACAATAAAAACTGTATTATAAATTGGCTATCTGTTCTATTACTTGAATTACTTCCATTACATTCTATTCCATCCAATGGTTTCGAAGACATTTTCTTGCAGTGCCGATTCTGTCATTATGCCAGCTTTGATTTCTATTCATGGTTTTCTTATTAACGTAGATGAAATTTGAAACAGTTATTTTATTATACATATCAGTTAAATCATGAAATGTGTGAACAGATCATGGTACAGAATGTACTTGGTACATACTGAATATGAACAAATTACACAGCCCTGCGAAGTTAAACTTCATAAAAGCTGTTTTGGTTTTAATAACGGATTTTCCATAATTCAGCTACGCAATTTCGAAAATAATATTCATTTTTTTCTATCACGTAATGATTTTTTACAAATCGGGAAGAAAAAAAAAACTCTTACTTAGATCAAATTATTATTTCGTTTACCATAATGAACATTTTTATTATTATATTTATTAACAAACCGAAGAATAGGAAAGAACATTGATGTCAAACGAATATGCATCCTCATTCATCCCGATTTTTTTGTGAAATCTACGTCTTTTAGTTTCAAAACTACGTGATGTGGTCTTTCTTTTATGTATTGCGTTCTGACGTTTTGTGAAAAATCAGTACGTGGATACCATTTTGGGTTTCAACGTACGTGAACTACTGTATAACATGTAAAAATTTCAAGACAATAAAACCAACACAGGCTTGTGTTATATGTAAACTGTATTTGCATTTGTTTTTTTAAATTTTAATTACAGTCTTTCATTAATATTCATATTGGTATATGCTCCTGTTTATCGTGAACAAAGTTTCAGTTTTATCCAAAATGCTGTATGAAAGAAAGAGAAAATCATAAAGTATCACACAAGAACTTGCAAAGCAATGACAATTACAAAAGAATAACGACTAAAAATTCCACAGAATAAGGTAGCTTCAAACAAATATTAAAAACTTTATACATTTTAATTTCCTACAAGTTTAATAAACCTTGCTTTGATACAAATCAAACTATTACATTTTTGGTTTTATACATAACGACAAAACAGAGTTTGTTTCTTTTACATATTATTTCGTTCGATGAATATTTGATTATCTAAAACGAAACAATGAAATGAACAAAGCAATATCTTGCATGAAACTCTCAATACATTTAAATGGTTGTTATGATTCTTTTCAAAAATTAGTAAGTAAATTTAAAAAAAAAATTGTTCAAACATTTTATTGTTGATCTATAAGTGAAATATTAAATAAGTTTTATTGTATGTTATAATTACATATGCGCAACTTATAATCTAATTATAGCTTCTTAAGTTATTTTTATATTATCATCTTTAGTTTTAAGACACTTGAATAACAAGTGTGTATATATCTACATTTTTTTTCACCACAAAGTATTTTAATTTATAACTAACACGTACACCAATGATACCCTAGTTTGTAACTTAGAAATGAAATAAAGTTTATAAAATATTAAAACAATGACAAATCACATGACTGCCGAGCAACTTTTGAAGCCAAGATATTAAAACTACATACATCTACATCTATCGCAAAGAATGAGCATTAGTTCTCCAAGTTGCAGTTAAGCTTCCGATTTCAGTTACCATACTTTTGCCACAATTAATCTTTAATATGATATTTAAGCATATTGTTTTCTGTCATTAATTATGTTCACATTGATTTATATTATTGTCTTATTCTATATTTGAATTTTTATATAAAATATAATTTACTATCTTATGTCAGTACTAAACTCCTATATAAAATTTAAGTCACTATTGTAATCCACTATATTTTTGTACTGTATTATTAAATTGTTTAACTTCTAGACTAAACCTTAATTATTACACAATATCAATGCTAAATGTCTATATTAGTTTTAAATTATTACTTTTTGTTATTATTAAATTTCCCTATTGGACTTAAGGTATAGTCTGTGCCTTTGTTAAAGTTTTACATGAGATATATATGTTTAATTTTTAAAGTTAAAGAGTTGACTTTAACATGAAAGTGAAATATAAAGGCCAATAAGGCGAAATTGAAGTATTTTACAGGAGCTGAAGCCTACAGTGAATGACCCACGATTCTCTACAGTGATTATGGATAGGCAGTATATCCATCCGCATCTCGCGATGGCTTGGTTTTTATTCAGGATAAATACACAATTTTCAGTAAATGTGTCCACATTTCCTATTGGCTAACGTTTCTTCAAAGTGAATTAAATTAATTAGTGTCTTTATAAACCCTAAATATGGAGGTTTTCTGCAGAAATAATAAATATCAATTACTTTAAAGTAAATAGGCATTGTCCAAAGAGAAAGCAATATTTTATATATGGGATAAAGTGTAAACTTTGAAATAAAGAGTTTTAGGTCTTTTACAAAGTAGTTTTGTAGTGAAACAACATATATATGCTAAGTAATGGCAAGCAGAACTATATATTGTTCACTAATCTAGAATGAGATTATGTTTAAATATTCAGAGATATATGTTTTAATGTAGAAAAATTTCGAAAGTGAATTAAAGTACGATTTTGTTTCCATACAAACACAACAATGTCAAAATCACAAACTTATAGGTGTCAAAACATAAAAAACAACATATTATAGCTTTAATAAAATATTAGAAAATAATTAAATAGACCTAATTAAGTGGTCTTACATTTCGACAGGAAATCGCTTTGGACATTTTTACAAAAAACGATTTTTATTTTTCGGTCAAGGACTTCAAAGTGCTCTGCACAGTACCTAATTAACAGTAATTAAATGTTTGGCGTTATTATAGATGATCCACAAGGACGTTTGAAAGTATAGGGAATGAAATAGTAAGAAGGGGGCTGAAGGTTGTACTTTTGGCACCATCCATTTTAGCATTTTCCACCTGAGTGAAAGCAAATTCGTGATAACATGACGAGTAAGAAATATTCATATTATGTTCAAAGAGATCTAAAAATACCAATTTTAGCTCACACTGACAGTTCCTTTAAATATAAAATTAAAGTTATTTTTAATTATTTGAAAAGATAAAATACTTAAAATCATATACCTTAAATAAATAAAGATTCTATTTTATACGTTTTTATATGAGCTATTTAATGTTTTTTTCTGAAAATCTAGAAGTATAAAAGCAAAGTATAAATCAACAAGTAAATATTTCTTTCTTGTTAGTCTGACTTCATTATTTTTTCAAACAGGCACATAAATTTCATATACTTAAAATACTTTTAGGAAATAAATACATATATATATATATATATATATTAAATATAGACTAGCAAGCAAAACAATATCTACCAGACAGAAGTAATTTTTATCTTACATCATGTTTTCGCCACCAAATGATGTAAAGTTTTGATGGAAAAGTTAGAAGAAAAAAACCAGTTGAAATTGTTTTTAAACAAATACTTTTCACTTTCTTTAAACCACATTGTTTCACCTTTGTATCCAACGTTATACTAAATATCTCGAAAAATGTTTAGTTGCGTTTGCTACATGCTGAGCAAATCAGGTGATCAATCGATGATCATTTTATTCTCATGTCAACAAACGATAGATATTCGGTAATACCTGAATAGTGATACCTTTCAAGATTATGAACGATATTGTATTATTTTTTACGATTGCTTTTTAACCTTGTTTGGTTAAATCACTAAATTTAATTAAATCTAGTACTAAGGTGTCATTTCCGTTCCATGCTTGTGTATGGAAAGTAATACATGGACTGCGGCAAATCCAGTTGCCACTGGCTGGCATGCAGCTCCACAAGTTCCAAAAGAGTTTTTCGTATCTGGGAGGAAATGGACGGATTGATAAATGCGTCCCGCATTAAACTAACCAACTGACGCATTCGCTGGGGAGAGTCAAGTTGCAATTGGCGGCCAACAGAGGTCAGCACAGAGCGGAGACACTCGATCTGTATTAACAATACGGTAAAATTATTGGAAGTTAACAGATGACATACACACATAACTTGATAACGATTACCCAATTTTCCATTATCAAAAGAATACTAACAAATATGAAGCGATTTTAGGAGCATTCTAAGAACTAGTATAAAACGAAAACATTAACAACAACAACAAAAAGAAGTCTATCAGTTCGTAATTCTGGACGGCTGTGTGCAGACAGCCCTTTGTGTAGAGTTGCGGTAAATATTTTGAAATAGAATAAAATATATTTATACAGTCAGTTGTTAATTCAGTTTAGCAGGTGTAGTGCCACAATTAAAATGTGATATCGAACATTTTCGTATGATATTCTGATAGGCAAGTATCGCGGCTTAATTCTTATCATAACTTAGTGAATAGTGAACTATTCGAAAGCGCTCGAGTTTTGGGTCTCGTTTAAAAACAAATACGTTCTTCATATAGGTGTGTTCCTGTACTTCAAAATTTTAGTAAAAACTGCCTCTATTTAAGGATGAACGATTGTTTTGTTTAAAATGTAAAAATATTAGGTCGTCAAGAAATTAATGTCGCTTTTTAAAAAACCCGAACAAATTATTTATCAAAACAAAACATTTATTAAATGAGATAGTCTTCATTCTTATCGATGGTGCTTTTCCGTCTTACATTAAAGAAATAACTTGGCTTTGAAGCAAAACACATGTCGATGTCTTCTTTAACACCTTCTAAATTTGTATACGTTTTCCCATTAAGATGATGTTGCAGCGAATGAAAAAAAAGATGGTTATCTGAGGTTGTCATATCTGGAGAATATGGTGGGTGGGGGG